TTTAAGATACTGTGCATTTCAACCTCCATTAACTTCTTCATTTCTGAAAAGGATCTTGCAATAGCTGCTTCATGATGCGAAAAGAGAGAAAATGAATATTAATGCATTGCTCGCAAGAAGTTCATTTAGAAAACGATTTCATGTCCTTTCGAGTTTATTTGCAATTATATAGAACACTTTGCTGGAATTACTGTAATTTTCTAAATAATATCGTAGTCATTTTAATTGCCGATTTAATCAAATTGTGAAATAAAACAAATTTCTGCTTTTTAGACGTTTGTACTTAAACGCCATTTCAATTCGAGATTTTTAGTGTATTTTCAAAAAATCAAGACAATATCATTCTTGTTAGGTAAAACGTTTCAAACTATTATACTATTAGTCAAGAAGATTTTTCTAGTATTTTAGATTACTACCGTGATCATGTTCATTATGTACTCACAAGTTACCATGAGTCACTCTCAGTGTAAAAGTTTACAACAAATTTCATTTCTCATAGATTTTTACGCCAATTTTGATGTCCTTAGGAATATTTGGTCAAGAAAAAAGTAAAGAAATAGTTTTTTGACTTCTGACCTGTGGTGACCCAGGGATTAGACCCACATTCACCCAAAATCGATAGTTTTCATTGAATGTAATTTGTATTTCGAACAGTATAGGATATGAATGGAATGTGAATAGAATATGAATATTTATGTTTAATTTTTGCAAAATATATAATTTTAAAGTTGAATGGTTTTTATTTTATCAACTGTAACTTGGAAAATGTTAATATATAAAATACGATTCTCTTACGATTACTTACATTTATAACTTTATGCTTATTTGAAAATTAATTTAAACCAATTTGCGGTACTTGCGTATCCTTTCTCGTATTCTGAACCAAAAACTCATAAACATTTCAACTCTAGATGAAACGATTCATTTGTTCGTTCAAAAATGTTTCATTCGGCACAATATAAAACCGACCCTTGTTTTTGTTTGTTTTGTTGGCTTTTGGAAAACCGCCGAACGATTATGAGCCTTTGATTACATCACTGGTCCTCAGATTTACCTTTTATAAGAGTTCAAGAGGGCTTTGAGCTAGATTCTTTTATGGGTAAAGTTTAAAATTTCAGGTCATTAACCGTGAACTTGACTCAATCTCAAAAGGGCTTGAGGGTCAAGAACCCTGAAACCGGGACAACGATTACACTCTTTACACTGAAGAAGGTGTAAAAATTCAGAAAATAGTTGAATTAAATTGAACAGCAAATTAAGTTAAAAAGGTAAGTTTACAAGAAATAAATAAAATTAATAGCTATTAATTGTATAATGTATAGTATTCAGTGTGATCTATGTCAAAAATGTGCTAATGAAATCTTTATTTCGCATGGATTAAATAATGTAGCTATTTATTCGTAAAATATTATCAAAATTAAAAATATGAGATTAAATATGTTTGCTTCTTAGCTGTCTCTTTGTACTCCGCCTATGAGGTATAAAGGGACGGACAGCAAATTTAAAAAAAGTAGCAAAATACATATTTTTATAATTGGGAATTGACTGGGAATTATACTGAACATAGTTTGACAGTAGTTTGTTCAATATGCGTTATTTGTAGTGATATTCATTGATTGGTTTATACAGTATAATTGGAGAAAGTCAACGAAAGTTGGACCTTTATGTCTCGCCCTACCCAATCTTTTAATAAATTATAGAAATGTATATAAGCGCGTATAAACCTTTATATCAGACTCATATTGCATTAATTACTATTAATTACTTACTGCACAAAAGTAAAATAGAGACGCTAAAACTAGAAAGAAGAAGAATGCAGATGATTGACAACATGAAGACGCCAGAAAAGAAAATACAGAAAGTTAGAAATCTAAGCACTGAACTGGAAAGTATGAGAGCAAAAGATTCGATATAGAAGTGCAAAAGTAAAACGTTTATAGTAGTAGTAAAGTAATAATAAACAAGAAAGGTATTCAATGATATGTGGTGCTCTCACACTATGTACTTGCCTTCGGGCAAGTCAAAAAATAACTAGTTGAAAGTGGTATTTAGCATTAAGGCAAGTTGCACGAACTTCCGGAAATGTGTAATAATTGACTTAATCAACCGAAATTGAGATTTAGATATTTATATAAAATGTTTAACTGTTTATTTCGAGAATAAAGTTTTCGCTTTCAATTAAATCTAAACATTACGATTTCTTACTGCTCTTTCAAACACATTCAAATTATCTGCGATTATATTAATTATAGTGCACAGACAAGTATGTCCTAAAATTGTGGCTTATTATTCCAAATTTTAATTAATTTACAATGTTTGGCTCATCACATCATAAAAGCAACTTTTGGCACAAATTTGGACTATAATATTTTTTAAAACTTTGATGAATTTTTAAAATTAAACTACTTGCTGTAGAGCTGTACAATTTTAGTATGTTCTTTGGAACCAAGTTATCTATCAACATAAAAAATACATAAAAAAAAAATTTCAACAGCTAATTACAAAGAAACGGCCGATCATTCTCCAAAAATTATAAAATTACTTTCCTTTAAGTATTAATTATGAATAAGTTTGACGAGAGCCTGAAATAATATTTATTATTATTGATTACGGCTTGCTTATGAATAAATAAATAAATAAATAATATTTTTTAATAGTTTTTGATGTTTTAAAATCGATTGAGAATTTTTGGTTAAACCGTGGACGGTAAACTTTTCACTTTTCTGATAATTACAAAGAAACAGCTCAGCCGATCGTATCAAAAATCCAACCGACGCGGGTGCTTATCAAGTATTATCAATAGTATCTTAAATTTTTGCAATCGACTGAACCATTTTTCAGGAAACGTGGATGAAAGATCTAATTTTAAGAATGACTTTAACAAACGCTTAATTTAAAAAAAACGCTGCTAATTTTTCTCAAATTTTGATGCATTTTTAAAATTAAACTACTTGCCACAAGGCCTTAACATTTTAGTATGTTCTAGAAGACCATGATATCTATAATAAAAAAACATAAAAATCGTCAAAAAAAAGTTTCAACACTTAATTGCAAGAACTTGTACCAGCAAAACTTTACCAAAAACTGATCATTCAATCAATATAAATCGAACAGTTTTTGAATTTTTTAATCGCGGGCTAAAACGTGGGCAAAATTTTTTGCTTCTCGGCTTCTCACATAGATACGGATTAGATAATCGTTGCGGAAAACTGACAAACGCAAGTCCTTATATCGAGTTACATCAAACGGCTTTTGAATTTTTGAAATCAGTTCCGCCGTTTTTGAAAAAACGTCGACGAAAGGTAAAAAATCTTTTCACACACACAAACATACTTTTTTCAAAATTAGTCTTATTCGATTCAGAATGACTTGAAACGTCGAGGAAACATAAAATTAGCAAATCGGATTTTTTGACGAAAACAAACTTCTTTGGGATAATATACTGATTGTAAGGTTATTGACATTAAACATCAGACATAAGAAAACGCCCATTTCTATATCATCTATAAGGATGCAATCATTTTCTTGTCGAAAACAAGTAAATGATATAGATTTATTTCCGGTGTAGCGATCTCGATAAAAGATTATACCCGGTGATATGCAATACTTCGCTTGATCGCCTTAGGGTTGTTTGTGTACTCAGATATTTGAAGCGTGCAACGGATTTGTAAACCGAACAGGCATAGCAAAACTCATATCGAATTACTGTATCGATTACAAGATTATTATTAAATAAATATACACGTTATAACGATTATTAACACGTGTTACAGCCACAGCCCTTCATTGATAAAGGAAAAATACAGTTCGTAATTATTATGGTGAGAGCAATTGTGGCGAGAAATCTGGAAAATGACATTCTGAGCCCGTTGTAAGAACGTGGATCAGCAATCACGTGGTGCCGGGTTCGATTCCCATCTTTGCTAGCTTAATATCAATCAGTAGTGATCTCAGACCAACACTTGAGGTTAAAAATCTCAATTATAAAATCAACTAAAAATAGCTTTTAATTTTAACACTATTAGTGATATATCTTATATAGTCTCAATAGAATAAGATTGATTAACCACTGGGTTGCCCTCTCGAAACACCAGGTAAATTTATATACAACAAGAATTATAAAATCAACTAAAAATAGCTCTTAATGGCATTGCTTCAGTATAGATTCACAACACTATTAGTGATATATCTAATATAGTCTCAATAGAAAAAGATTCATTAACCACTGGGCTGCCCTTTCAAAATACCAGATAAAGTTATGTACAACAAAACAGATTATGGAACACAAATTTCTGATTACTGTTGAAAAATTAAAAAAAAATTCAATAGCAAATCTATAGTTTCCGATTTTGATCATAAATGCTTCGTATGTAACTCTTTAATATGTGAGCCGATTCTGGCGTAAAATAGACTAATGTTATGGCAAAGCTATGTAACGTGGCAGTTTTCATACGGTTTTCATAAAGTGATGGCTGGTTATACATATTTTTCCCTCAGATTTCAAGTATTCTTGTTAAAATATTCTTAACTTCACTAGTTTTTGAAATATCGGTGGTGGACCTTTTTACCCGCGGACCTTTGAGCCCTGCTCTACTCTACTACAAAATAGTTTCAAATCCTCAACACTATGTTTTACATATTCCTTCACTAAAAAAACTACGGATTTAATTCTAATAATAAAAGTTAGAACAATATGATTATTATCGATAATTTCCAATAAATAATAAATGATCAGGAAGGTTGCTCCTAATTTACAATTTCCGAGCTTAATAAATTGTGACAGTGCATTCAATAGATTTTCGTGTGATGGACAGATGGACGAAATTTGTATAGATTCAAACTGAAAATACTTTACTATAATATTCTGTCAACCCAAAATATATTTAATTGGAAACTTATAAATAATATAAAAACGTATTACTGCACTCATGTGTAAATTACATGATACACATTCTCAATTGTTGAACAGAAGCATATACTTATTTATCTATGGACAGAAACTATGGACAGAAACATATAAAAAAGCTGTAATAAACCAAAAATTAATGAAATTTCAATTATATTAATCTTTTCTACTTACCTATCTACACTAATGCACACCAGTACAAAAGACGACAAGTACAATCCAAAAGTCCTGAAAAATGCCATCATCCTGCACATAAAGGCACCAGCCCTCCAGGACACTGTGCTGGCCCATGCTATTTCCAAAGGCATTATTAGAAAAGTCACCTGTAATTGAAAATAATTATATTTCAAATTTATTTAGTATTTAATAGTTTAAAGTTGGTTGTGATGATTATCTTAATATCTATTATTTATAATGAACGCTATTAGTTAAATGTTATATACATAAATAATAGTAATATTTGTACTAGAATTAATTAAAATAATTAATTCTAAGTAATAGTATTTTCATTTCATGTTCAATAAACTGATTTTTCATGAATTCTCTGCTATCCTTCAATGAAAATGTTTACGCCCACACAAAAACTCATACATGAATAGAAATAAAAAGATAAATGTCAATTTTAATAATAGAATCTTTACAGATATATTTGTACGGAGCAGCTTATATGCAAATCATTCCATTCTCAGAAAATTTAATATAATAAAATATACCTTTGTAGTTTGTGTGAGTAGGCAGTACAAAAAAATTAGAAAAAAAAATTGAAAACTCTTAGATCGCATTAATTGTAACTTCTAAAACACTATATATATATATATATATATATATATATATATATATTTATATATATGGCGGAATGAACACCATATGAAGTTGAAGGACGTCAATTGATGACAATGGCGGAATGAACACCATTGATGACAAAACTAAATTATATTGGGCTACGTTGATTCGGATCTGGCATCAAGCAAGCTATAACGATCTGATTGTTTTTATACGATCGAAGATTATTGTCGCGCTTTTTAAAACGATCGAAAATATTGTATCGAGTTTTTTGCCAACGAGCGTTTTCTCGTGAACGAAATTTAGATTTGATTTAATGTAATATCAACATCTTTATCAATTGAGACATTAATAAACAGTCATTATCGAGTTGAAATAAAATTATTGCGATTTCATTCAAGAATTAATTAATTAATAATATATGGCCCACTAGCGCCATAAAGGGCGGAGTGATCTGTAGCGACCTGTCAACACACGTCGCATTTTAACTTGACAGATGTTCATTATTTGAAGCTCATCATAGTGTCAGCTCAAAAACAAAAAGTTCAAGTGTCAGATCAGATCTCGTTTTTGTTTGCTCAATGTTCGAAATGCCAAAATTATAATTCTTAACTTTTTTCCTTTTTTTATTATAAATACTGAAATAACATCTACGTTTTTGTAAATGATCAATATAATCACACATAGTGTTATTACTATTGTCATAATAAACAATATTCGTAGTATAGAGAACACGAGTTTCTTTAGTGGTGACCGCGAACGTGAATTAATAGCACGCATATAGAAGGAAAGAAGGTAAGAAGATCAAGACACATTTAGAAGTAACAAATTTAGAAGTAAAAAAATAAATTGAAGTCTCATGAATTATTAAGAAAAGAATTTTTAAAAATAAATAATGAATATAAATGGCTCACAACCGCCATAACTCTAAGAACATTCTAATCCTACAACTGAGACTCCGGCCACGCACATCGAAAACAACAACACGTGCTCGATAAATCCCTCATTATCCTGGAAAATGAGTCGATTATAAGCACCACGGCAGAGGACAGGGAGCGTCAGCAAACAATTTGGCAACCGCCACATACACTCAACCGCTAACTCACCAGCGAAGGGCCACATACAATCAACCGCTAACTCACCAGCGAAGGGCCACATACAATCAACCGCTAACTCACCAGCGAAGGGCCACATACAATCAACCGCTAACTCACCAGCGAAGGGCCACATACACTCAACCGCTAACTCACCAGCGAAGTGTCAAATATACTCAGCCGCTAACTCACCAGCGAAGGGCCACATCTACTCAACCGCTAACTCACCAGCGAAGGGCCACGTAAGCAATCAACAAACTCAACAAGCCAACACGGCATTCAAAACGGCCACGGCCACGAACAAATAAAATTTATCACACAATCTCAACCAAAAGAAATTTACAAGGAAGTTCAAGATGGCACTCAGAGATGCGAAACAATCTTTTTCATTAGGGCGGAGTGATCTGTAGCGACCTGTCAACACACGTCGCATTTTAACTTGACAGATGTTCATTATTTGAAGCTCATCATAGTGTCAGCTCAAAAACAAAAAGTTCAAGTGTCAGATCAGATCTCGTTTTTGTTTGCTCAATGTTCGAAATGCCAAAATTATAATTCTTAACTTTTTTCCTTTTTTTATTATAAATACTGAAATAACATCTACGTTTTTGTAAATGATCAATATAATCACACATAGTGTTATTACTATTGTCATAATAAACAATATTCGTAGTATAGAGAACACGAGTTTCTTTATATATATATATATATATATATATATATATATATATATATATATATATATATATATATATATACGAGGTCTGTTCAAAAAGTTTTCGTAATTTTCGTTTTTTCAAAAAAATATTTATTTATTCGTCTACATTAATGTGGTCCCCTTCAAAGTAGTCCCCCCCAGATATAATACACTTATGCCAGCGTTTTTTCCAATTTTCGAAGCACCCTTGATATTCACTTTTTGATATGTCCTTGAGCACTCTCGGCGATTTTCTTCAATCGAGGAAAACCGCCGTCCTTTCATGGGTCTCTTCAACTTTGGGAATAGGAAAAAGTCACACGGAGCCATATCTGGTGAATTTTTGCACTTTGCAACACTTTATTTCATTTTTTACGCAAAATTTAATACAAATTCTTTGACTTTTTCAATTCTTCCATTGTAAAAATCGCCGAGGTCAGAAAAGCACGTCGAACCTTAGCGACTACCACAGACAAAGTAAACAGTGAATATAGCTGAAAATTTCATCATACTTTAGGGGCATGTATACCAACACAATAAAAAAAAATTTTGACAATCAGACACTCCAGACCCGCGAAATTTAATTATTAGTAATTCCGGGTACTTTTTGAACAGACCATGTATATGTATGATTGTTTCTTTTCCGAACAGTAAATCCAATAATAAAAACAATTTGTTTTTTGAAGATGTTTAATAACGACGTTTCGGAACTAGATACGTTCCATCATCAGGTTTATTCTGTCAAAGACAATGTTTTTTAAAACTATTGACTAACATTAGTTAATGATGGTTATTACAGATTATTTAGAAAAAAAATATAAAGGAATGGATTATGCACCAGTGTAAAGAGTAAAGAAAAGTAACTAAAAACGGTTTTATATAAAATTGAAAAGCAAGAATTATTTGCCTGTAATAATTTATATATCCATATCACTAATATTTTTTGTTAAAAACACTCGTTTTTTCCGAGAATATTTGTAAATGTTTTTGACTTCACAAGACTTTGTAACACACAGTAATGAAGTTCTGTCGGTCAGATGTAAGCAATATATACGGACTTAAGCAAAATAATTTTTTATGGCTCTTGTATTGGTAATTTACGTAATAAATTTCATTTAAACTGTAACCCCTAAACTTTAACTTTTAATAACATTTCTAAGACCACAATCGAAAATAATGTCAACATTGCCCCAAGTTGAATTCAAAACTTTCAACGGTTGTCAGCTTTGAAACATTTCTTTAAAAAAAAGCTCTAAAAAGTGGATTGGCAAAAACCATTAAAAACTTGCGCAAATAATCAGGATTGTATACTACTTATTAGTTTCATATTAAAAAAAGCAAGTATAAAACAAATACTTAAAATCAATTATTTTGATATTTGCTTACCAATAAATCAGCAATAGCTAAATGCATCAGCATGATATTGATCCTGGTAGGATTCCTTCGTCTTCTTCTAATGAGCAAAGCGAGGACTGTGACGTTACCAGTTGCAGAAATGACCAGTAATACGCTGTACACCGTTATGGAAAGCAGGTGGCCCTGGTTAAATCTCATATCTATGGGCAGCATAGATTCATTGAAACCGCTCACCTGAAATTTTAAATCATAGGAAAAATGTAATCAGTAATAATAAATATTATTTAATGATTTTGCTAAACTTATTTATAATAAATAATTAGTAAAATAATTTTATAAAAAATTGGTAGCTGCAAAGCAGCTCAACGTTTGCTCCTGAAATTTATAACAAGAGCTGCAAGGAGTTATTGAAATTAGGTAAATTCCGCAGTATCATAATAGACATTTTTTTAGTTTAATTAAAGTCTCATTGAGTAATTCGTTGTCTAAATTTCGAATATTGAGCGTAAATATATCTCCGTAAATTGAATCAATCGTATTAAAGGAGCTAGTTAGTTGTCCAGAACTAAATAATGAACCGAGTCTCCCGCACAACAGACCAATGTTATAGCAAGGCTATGTTATAAAAAACTTTCCATACTAATTCGTTCTAAATATTAACAAAAGCCGTTTTTCTCAGGTTGTCAAATAGAAAACCTAAACTAGAGACCGCACAAATGTCAAAACAACGATTTAAATAGCAGGGTCTTTCTGACCCAGCTTCATAACATACAAGTGACGTTGCAGTTTATGTGTAAAACGCCTGAATGCACAGAAAATACATGACATTTTGACGGTATTCAGTATGATTCAGTAACATAATGTATGAAAGTTGGAGCGTAACATGGCCTTGCCTTAACATTGATCTGTTGCGTAGCAGAATCGGCCCATAAACTTGTGCTTGTTGTTATAATTGGAGGAGATCGATAGCGTGTTGAAAAATTCCAAATTGTTTTTGATAAAAGATAATGTTACCAATAAATAAATCCATAGGACTGTTTATGATATTATGTTTCTGATAAAAGCTGCTGCTGGAGGCTTTACTGGGTAAAGAAAAAATTATACGTATTTCGAGTTTCTAAAGCTCATTCCCGATGAGAATCCTCAAAATTTGGAGTAATGAGTGAAAGTTGCTATTAAGGACTTAAGAATCCTTTAAGCCTTAGAATCTAGATGAGATGTCTTAACTTAGTAGCCTTTTCCAGAAGGCAAACCAACGGTTAAGCCTACCTCTATTTGATATATTTGCAGTATTGGAATTTCTCTTATACTATAATGACTTTTAATTTGATGCATCGATGCCGAAAAGGGCATATTTCTACATGGAAACATAATTCAGCCTATATTTTTAAGTACAAATCTATGTCATTACTACGTTACACCAGCCTGTCCAGAGCGGGTATCGAATCTGAAACTTTTGGTTGGAAGCTCTATTTACTAAGCCACAAAAAACATTGGTGCAACATTAGACATGTTCTAGTCAAAATTGGTGCTTGCGTGTTAGCAATGTAACCAGATTAATTTGAAATATTATTAATATTATGAAAATGTATAAATTTATAAAAGATAATTTCCATCTGTATAAAAATATATTAAAAATTATATAAATCTGATGCCAATGCCAAGTTGATTCCCGCAATATAAATACCAAGAAATTTTGACACTTGAGAAAAATGTTTATTTGGGTTTTGATATTATTTAAGATGAAATCGTTTTTAATAATATTATAAAATAAATATTTATTTTTATTTAAAACTTAATAATTCAGGTTCCGTCACATAAATTTCTGTATTTGATATAATATTATATTTCAGAGTCATGAAAAATGCTACTATCTCATAGTTGTATTAAATATTTATCGAATAATGGGGCACTACCAAATAGAGTAATAATCATTAAGATCATTGAGATGAGCACTAATCACATCCAGATATTAGTTTAACTGAATAATGTATTAAAAAAGCTATATAAACTATAAGAAAGTACAAATAAAGAAATCATGATCAACCTAACTGTGCAGAGGTGGGTTCAACCCACAATTTCAATTTCATTAGTATCTTATTAATTAGTCATTATATAATTATATTAAAACATATATTTCATGCTAAATAATAAATGCCAATAAAAATCATGTATAAATTATAAATATTAGTTATCTCACCTTAGACCAATGCTGCAGGTTTCTGTGATCCTCAACTTCCAGGTTGACATCCATCGGTATTTCCGTCATGTTTGACATTTATAAAAAATAATTTACTAATAAACGTGAAAACAGTTTGTGAAACTGAATACTGTTTATATTTTCACAAAGAATGGACACTCATTTTTAACCATTTCGTTTACACAATATATAAATATTTCCAAGTATATTTTATAACTTCGTCGAATATAAAAACTAAATTTTACCACAATTTAAATCCTAGTGCTGAATCAGGTACGTCACTAATAAATATTCCAACTAATTCCACAGCCTTACAAAATTCAAAAATCACAAATTGTTAATCAAAATTAATTTCACTTATATTAATATTTAAAATAAATATAGAATACTAGCAACTATCACAACCAAAATAATATTGTGCCCTTAACTTTGAATTTTTGAATTTTTGTTAACCAATCTTGATTGTCTTCCTTCTTGCAAAACTCTATGAATTGGCATGCATGCCGCTTAGTTATTTGCGTATATTTTTGCAAATGTCATAATTATGGTTCATATTCGCAGAAATTATTTTTAACATTTTTGTGTTCAGTAATAATGACGTTTTTTATAAAAAATATACACAATAAGAGAATGGTTATTTTGATCCTTAGAACTTCCTGAAGATTGGGGCACGCTGTATCCTGGAAAAGAAAATAATATATAAATAATATTTCAATTATAACTGAATAAAAAATGATAATATTTGAAATAACTAATATAATAATATAATACTGGACACTTATAAAAATATGTGTGTTTTTGGCCTCATATACTTTTAATCAGCTTATTATTTGATGTCAGCATATACATATAAACATACGTACATATATATGTGTGTATGTGTGTGTTGGTATTAAAATGGCATTGTTGTGTATTTTCGAAAAGCTCCTTTGTGTCACTTGTTAATATCAAAACATTTCGTGAGGCATTAAGTTATTATGTATTTTGCTTCAGACATGCTCACAGGACAGATTATATTTATGTATATATTATATTTATATATTAATTATACATAAATATATGAAAGTATATGTATGTCTAACGTATGTTCGTTTTAAAGTCTTTTAGGGGAAAGAACTAAAGACTAAACTTATGAAATTAAAGCTTTATTGAAAAAATTTTTTAAGCTTTATTGAAATTTAGACTGAAAAAAAATCATTAAATTAATTATAATTTTTGATAAAAATAAAACCGACACCAAACCATGATATTAGAATTTTATTAAAATTATACCTATGATGCATATGAAAAAATGCATTATTATAAAGACTGCACAAATATTATGATTAATAATTGGCAGCGCATTTGTTTATTAACTAAGTGCCAATAATAACAAATAACTAGTAGTGTATGGCATCGTGCCTTAAGGCAAATTGCTGGAACTTCCCGCAGCGTAACGAAATTTAAGGAATATTGAATGTTTTCAAATAAATTATTATAAATACTGTAACATTGTCTAATATTTATTTAGAAGAACTATATAAACTGAATTACAAATTTAAAATTATTTATTTAAAGTATGTAAGTGAGCTTTAGAACTTTAGCCAGAATTAAAATTAAAATCTGAATTATTTTCGATATACAAAAAAAATATTGACAAAAAAGTTGAAAAAAAAAATTTTTAAACATTTTTTTCCAAATTAATTATTTTGTAAAAACAAGCAGAATGTTTTTTGAATCATTCGAATCGGATGCTTAGTACTCTTAAAAACTGCAATTTTTTGTACATTTAGTTCTGTATCTTCAAAATAGCTGGACCTGCCTTTGCCAAAAACTAATCAACTATTCTCCTAATCATTACAAATTGAATGTTTTTTGAATCATTCTAATCCGTTACCCGTTTCTAACGGATACTCCATTCTCTCAAAAACTCGATTTCTATTTTCTGCACCCTTTGTTTCGTATCTCTGTAACAGCTGGACCTGCCTTTGCCAAAAACTAATCAGCACATCTCCCAAACAATAGAAAACACACACACATCCCTTTCCTCTGAGGTATGCCAAAATGTTCAGAAACCTTCAAAACGTCGAGAAATGCAAAAATTTTCATTTTCGATTTTCGACCCATTTCTATAACTACCCTACGGGAAGTTAAAAATAAATTTTATATTATTTAAAGTTTTGATCAGCTAAACTAAACTAAATGTATTATTATGTAAATTTTATGACAAAAATTGCTGTTTACTATGAGCTTTTTCATACAAAGTATGAATTTCATACAAACGCAAGCATTATTTGGTCTGTAATTATTTTATGAGCTAAAATGATAATTATAAAATTAGACAATTTATCAAAATATTATAGCTAAATTTATCTTGATTAAATATAATTTCATTTAATAAAAATAACATATAAAACTATGACGTATACATGACATTAGAATTTAAAGTTATGCCTTTGCAAGTGAAAAAAATGCATTATTATGAAGACTGAACAAATATTAGGATTCACATTTGGCCACGTACTTGTTTATTAATTAAGTGCCAATTTGAACAGCTAAAAAATTCAATTTGTAAATTATAAAGATTTTAACTAAATTTATTATGTAAAAATGATGACAAATATAGCTCTTAACTATGGGCTTTTTCATACAAAGTACCAAAAGCAATATTTAATCTGTAATTTTTTCAAGAGCTAAAATAATGATTATAGAATTAGACAATTTATCAAAATCTATTTTTCGAAATATATAGCTTTATTTTTCAAAGGCTACCTTATAGTTATAAATTAGAATATATTTGATAGGTACTATATTTGTATATTGAATACCAAAAAATAAATAAAACGGTTTATAGAGCATATTTATCACAGCTAGTTTTCTGGTATCAGCTATTGTGCAACAAAAAATATATCTACCCATTATATATATATATATATATATATATATATAAAGTTGAAATTATATTTTTATATCTAAAGAAAATAAGATGATGTCTCCATTTTCCAATGAAAACAGTTCAGAATGAACGCTGAGACGACAAAGAAAATCTTCAGTCAATTGAAACATAATAACACAACTCGAGTAATTGCATTTTTTATTAATTTTACTGGCGCAAGTCCTTGTGAACTCAAGACAAATTTCTAACCCAAATATTAATTTTATGTCTCTTATTCTTTTCCATTTTCGTCAGTAATAAAAACCAAATATGCGGAAATGTAAAAATAAACAATTTATTCAATAACATCATTTAAATAGACTATATTTGTGTCAAGTATATATCGACATAATGTAAAATTATTTATGTAAAACGCACATTAAGAAAAACCATTATTGGATTATTTATAAATAAAAAAATTAATTACTATTAGGGTCCAAACTAACACCCCGTAGCGGCTTGGCGTTAAGATCTGGGACATCCTATATGTAATTCATATACAAAGGTGAACCATTGGGTTTCCGTCTAAAAACCACTATAGAATTAACAAATTAATTATTCTATGTCCTCTTTAAAACTGATTGTGATGAAAAAAAATCACAGTGCCTGTGTCACAATAACAATTAGCATTGAGATGTTTAAATTCAATCTACATGTGACGATTTAACAGAGAATCCACGACTTGCATTTTAATGCTATTTTTCATAAATTTCAATATTATTCTTGAATAATATTTTAAATACTAGTTCACGATCATAATCAAATTAATAATTCTAAATTGTTTGACGAAAAGCAACATTAAAAAATCCCTTTACCGTTTCACCAAAAATATTTTTTACCAAGGCAATAAAAATGACGGTCGGCATTTTTCTTATATAAAACAGCTTAATGTAATTGGTACAAAAAAGGTTGATCGCAAAGAAATTTTGTGTCTGGGATGAGATTTCAAGATGGAATTTTTATGTAATTATACGTTCAATAAGTCTCGGGAGGAATTATACTCGAAGCAATAAGACGGAGCATTTTCGAGTATAATAGAAAATCAGTTCGGAGACATTTCTTTATATAATATTCCTTTGAAATATCAAATCGTTTAGATCACTACATTTTCATTGAAATACGAGGTAAAAAAATTATTTGTTTGCACAAATGATTAATGTCTGGAAAATGTAAAAAATTCAATTTATTTCTAACTATATAACTAGTGTTTTTTATTTCGATCAGTTCGGCGAGATTTCTTTATGTAATATTTCTTTGAAAAGTTAAAACGTTTAGGTCATTACATTTTCAATGAAGCAAAAAATAAAAAACTTTTGCTCAATTAATTAATGTCTGAAAAATATAAAAAATCATATATTTCAATCTACGAAAATAGTATTTTTTATTAGAAACCATTTATATACGTGGTTATAATTATTTTAGACACAGTACCTATTGAAAATGACCGATTTTGTATAATTCTATATTATGATTGTTTGTATTTTTCATAAATATAGAGTTCCGGGCCAATATACAATTATACCTAAATAAATTTATCTTAAATACTCAAGATTAGTTCTACTTTAATGTTTTAGAACTTTTTGTAAAATTTTTGAATTTTATTGACAAACAAAAAATTTTGTGCCTATAATAAGTTGTACAAAATATTTATGATCAAAAATAAGAATATTACACACAATCATCAAATTATTAGATTTTCGGAAATTTTGTAACGATTTTTCTCAAAACTTTTTAATTGGTAATAATCCTTTTACAAAATTAACACGCAAGATTTAAATTATATTCATTATATCGTATTTATCAAAGTTATACAGAAACTAAAAAAATATATCACAACAAATAACACGTATCAAACAAACAACTATATCCCAGCTACTTCACCATTGTAGAAAAGCGTTGTTTTTTGCTATTTTTCAAAAATTTGTCAGCTGCTCCTTTTTACCCCATAGGCGAGATAAAATATATAATAAGATGGCAAGAGGTCAACAAACAGGACTCAATATAGTATTAATTTAATAAATCTCATTTTTAATTTTTATGGGATTTTACGAAATAACAGCTACATTATTCTACCAAAGCCAATAAATTTCATGGCTACATTTTATAATACAGAGATAATACTGTATATAACCTTGATCTGATATTTCGACAAAAACATTCGTCGGCATGTTGGAATAACTATTTTTTTTAATCGATATATTTTAAAATTGCATTCTCTAACTTAATTTACATTTTTATTTACCATTTCTTATTGTTTACATCTTTGCCAATATAAGGGTTCAGTTGGTCCTGTTTACACCACCCGCGTATAAGCTTTTATAGAAGCTATATTAGAAAAAATGTTGATTCTAACTTAAAATTAATGATACATCTTATGCAACAATTAAATAACGTATACTTAAAAATTATATAAAAGTCTTGAAAACTAAACGACAGTGATCTCAACCTAGAAAACTTACAACGAAAGAAAATACTTTTGTTATGTATTTTCAAATATTACCGTTTCTCTCCCAATAGCAACGTCGTAAAAATCAAAGTAATGGCTGGTTATACTTCATTTTTCTGCCCTCTACTTTCAAATATTGTTGTTAAAAAATTCCTAATTTTACATGTTTTTTAAGATATCAGTTGTGGATCTTTTTACCCGCCATTAAATACCAATAAATAGTAAAATTTGGGATTTTTTCAATACATTTCGAAACTGTTTAAATTTTTTAAAATAATGAATCTTTGAAAGTATGTAAAATTTTTGATAAAAATAAGTAG